ATCGTAAAAATTTAAGTAAACCTTTTCAGAGCTTATCTGGCAAAGGTATTTTACATTGTAATCAACGTTCCACTAAAAAAATATGTACCTTCATTAATTGAACAATAATAATAATAATAATAATAATAATAATAATAATCATCATCATCCTCATCATCATCATCCTTTACAATTAAGAAAATTATGTATCCTAGACAATAAGAATAATTTCTGAATAAATAATTTATGTAATCCTATAAATTGAGCGTCATTAGTCATTTCTTATTACCACCACCCACTTTCCACCCGCCACTCATTTTCTATCTGGCGGCCATTTTCCACCCACCACCCACTTCCTGTGACCCTCGGACCCCCAACTTTGATGCCCTGCACCCCAGGGCGCCCCCCCAGCGCGCCGACGACCTCTTCAAAGGCATGCCGCCGAGGGGTGAGGGGGGAACGTGCACGTGCACTTCCCGGAAAAAGGGGCGAGGGAGCGTGGGAAATTCGCCAATAATGCCCTCTTACTACTTATATGCTCCAAAAACACTTTGTTTTTGTCTCAACAGCCACCTAAATTTTTGAACCTTATGATCGAAATATCGTGCGCAGGTCACTGGGTCATTCCGAATCAAATCCGTTTTGATATTATAATCCAAATTATACGCTTCCTTTATAGACAACGTTGTACCCTTATCACTGTACTTCATTAAAGTCTGCAATAATTCAGGCCAATGACTCTCAGCCCCGGATAATGTTAGAAAAAAAGTAGGTTTACTCAATTCGCGAATCATTGCTAATAGTTCTTTCTTCTTATGTTCCTAATATGCTGGCAAGGATCGAATGAATTTCAACATTCTAAATCCATCATCAAAATCAATTACGTTAGAACGAAAATCAGCATCTAATGCTTTGGCAACATTGATGTTATCATTGGCACTTTTCTTATTTTTCCTTAAACATATATTAATACTGGATGATATTTCTAATTTTTTTTTGGCCATGAAAAAAATTCTCGTAGGAATGCACGACCGTCGATCATGACATCTCACCTCTGATTTCACACGATCTGAATAAGATATTGATTTCGGTAAATTGAACGAATACCCTCCAAAATTTTTTGGAAAACCTAATTCATCCAAGTCTTCAATTTTATGCCATGCTAATGGATATTTATCTTGTCCCGGTGCGACTATTTTAACAATTGGAGCATAATTCTCAACGACGTCCGCATTATTATCAGCTAGCAAGACCTCATCGTTATTTATTTGGTAAAAATCAATCAATTGTTCAATTTCCCTCTTCCCTTCTTTTGAATTTCCAAGAATTCTATCCTGCTCAACTATATTGGTGATATCATAACTTGATATACTTTCAATTTTTGCATCATGAATAATATCATTAGTGTCAACTATAAAATCCACTGGCTGTTTATCATTCTCATAGTTCTGAATATAGTCGTTGTCTACTTTAATAGCGCATTTTTTGTACAGTGTTGTAGTGATTAGAAATTTTAATGCTTCACAAATAACACTTGGCCTGATAGATTCAAACATGTTATCACTTTTGTGACTACTATGTCGTTTCAACTTCAACTGAATTGTTTGCATCTCATTGAATTTGCGGGGTAATACTTGGAGCATATCATTGATATCGACTTGTATATTCACTACATTACCTTTTAGACCTAACTGTGGATTTAACGCATATGGCTTTAATGCCCGAATTTGCATAAAATTTAATACTGGTGCTACCATCCTTTCTTCAAGATCTGACAGTTCTTTACACATTTTGGTATTTGCCTGAACTGGAGACCATTGCTGGTTGAGGATTGATGCACTTTGCCACGATATGCATAATTTTTGCATGTGTTGCATATGAAACCGGATGGGAAGTTGTTAATTTTGGTTAGAAACTCGTGGCCGCTTTTTTCGATGATTTTTCGTCCGTTCAGTGTTACAAATGAACATCTAAAAAAGAGACCTTCACAACAACAGCATATGATTGAAGCTGTTCCCGACCGAAACTTGATGAATTAAAGTTGAAGTTTTGCTTTCGGAGAAGATTCTCTATTTCTCATCAAACGATTATAAAAATTATCACGAAAATTCAATATATCAATTTCTCTCTTATCTCTGTGCGATTTCGATTTTTCTTTCTAATTCACGCGTGCGATATTTCGCATTCATAATTTTTTCTTTCATCCTTCGTGCCTTCAGAATCCTTTCCCGCTTTCTATACGCTTTTTTACAACGTGTGATTCTCATTCGTTCCAGATTTTTTCTTCTTTCATTTCGGCTATAAATCTTATTCAAACGCAGTTTTTCATTTTAAATTATATTCCGCGAAATTTCATTTTTGATGAACTTCACACTATTCCTCAACATTTTGTGCAAACTCACGTAATTTAAACGCTTTGTTTCGTCGAAGAATACGATTTCCTTTGAGATTATTGGATAATTCATTTTCAATATATTGTATCCTTTGTCTTAAAACTCGATTCCTTACAATATTCCTTATCCGTTCATTAATGATATATTCCTCACGTCGTCGAATAATCACCATCCTATNTTTTTTGGAAAACCTAATTCATCCAAGTCTTCAATTTTATGCCATGCTAATGGATATTTATCTTGTCCCGGTGCGACTATTTTAACAATTGGAGCATAATTCTCAACGACGTCCGCATTATTATCAGCTAGCAAGACCTCATCGTTATTTATTTGGTAAAAATCAATCAATTGTTCAATTTCCCTCTTCCCTTCTTTTGAATTTCCAAGAATTCTATCCTGCTCAACTATATTGGTGATATCATAACTTGATATACTTTCAATTTTTGCATCATGAATAATATCATTAGTGTCAACTATAAAATCCACTGGCTGTTTATCATTCTCATAGTTCTGAATATAGTCGTTGTCTACTTTAATAGCGCATTTTTTGTACAGTGTTGTAGTGATTAGAAATTTTAATGCTTCACAAATAACACTTGGCCTGATAGATTCAAACATGTTATCACTTTTGTGACTACTATGTCGTTTCAACTTCAACTGAATTGTTTGCATCTCATTGAATTTGCGGGGTAATACTTGGAGCATATCATTGATATCGACTTGTATATTCACTACATTACCTTTTAGACCTAACTGTGGATTTAACGCATATGGCTTTAATGCCCGAATTTGCATAAAATTTAATACTGGTGCTACCATCCTTTCTTCAAGATCTGACAGTTCTTTACACATTTTGGTATTTGCCTGAACTGGAGACCATTGCTGGTTGAGGATTGATGCACTTTGCCACGATATGCATAATTTTTGCATGTGTTGCATATGAAACCGGATGGGAAGTTGTTAATTTTGGTTAGAAACTCGTGGCCGCTTTTTTCGATGATTTTTCGTCCGTTCAGTGTTACAAATGAACATCTAAAAAAGAGACCTTCACAACAACAGCATATGATTGAAGCTGTTCCCGACCGAAACTTGATGAATTAAAGTTGAAGTTTTGCTTTCGGAGAAGATTCTCTATTTCTCATCAAACGATTATAAAAATTATCACGAAAATTCAATATATCAATTTCTCTCTTATCTCTGTGCGATTTCGATTTTTCTTTCTAATTCACGCGTGCGATATTTCGCATTCATAATTTTTTCTTTCATCCTTCGTGCCTTCAGAATCCTTTCCCGCTTTCTATACGCTTTTTTACAACGTGTGATTCTCATTCGTTCCAGATTTTTTCTTCTTTCATTTCGGCTATAAATCTTATTCAAACGCAGTTTTTCATTTTAAATTATATTCCGCGAAATTTCATTTTTGATGAACTTCACACTATTCCTCAACATTTTGTGCAAACTCACGTAATTTAAACGCTTTGTTTCGTCGAAGAATACGATTTCCTTTGAGATTATTGGATAATTCATTTTCAATATATTGTATCCTTTGTCTTAAAACTCGATTCCTTACAATATTCCTTATCCGTTCATTAATGATATATTCCTCACGTCGTCGAATAATCACCATCCTATTCCGATTCTTTTTACTTTCAATTCTACAGTATTCGTCATTTTCTCGCTTGTGTTTCATATATTTTCTTTTTTTCTTATTTTCTTCCATTTTAAATTCAACATTAGCCCTCTTACACTTAATATATGCCTTTTTTCCTTCATTTTCATTATTAGTAAATTGGATATTTTCTCTTTTACGCTGTAACCGTTTTTGTTCTGTTCATTTTCTTTTGTTTTGAATACAGTGTCAGATCGTAAATACTGTTTTCTTTGTTTGTCTATTTTCTGTTCTAATTCACAATAAACTGGATCCGACAGTTTTATTCTTATCCGTTTGGGTTCTTTCTCTTTACGTTGCATTCTTTCATTTACCTCATTTTTTAGCTTATCATGTTGCTGTTGGGCTCGAACCTCACCATTGGGAGTCATGGAATTATTTTTGTCCTTTTTTGCATTTATTCGACACCTATTCTTATTATTTTTATTTCTTTCCTTGTTTGATTTTCGATTGACTTTCATTTTTTTTCTTTACGGTTTTTTTTCACCTTTGGGTGGCTATTGGATATTTTGTTTGTCGCTTCCAGCTGACACTTGAAGTTTTCTCTTTTCTATTTCTCGCAATTATTACAATATTGCAGGAAATTACAATAGTGTAATAATGGCTTGAAATGATGATATTCTTCTCTATAATTGCCTTCTTCCAATATTAGCATTGATTTCACTGTTGAATAAATAATCCATTGAATCAATTAAATAGTTTGTCGCCTTCAGCTGACAATTGAAGTTTTCTCTTTCTTATTTCTAGCGATTATTATAATATTGCGAGAAATCACAATTGTACAATAATTGCTAGGATTAATGCTATTTTTCGGTCTGTTATTATATTTCTGGGCGTTTCTCTTTGAAAATTATATTTTTGTGTCGTTACAAGTACGAAAAAAAAACTATTAGTATTACTCTCCTATCAGAAAGTTAATAATTACTGCACATAACAATATTGTAATAATAATGACTTACGATGTAAACTGACGATTTACATCGAAGATGAGCTGATCACAGTTCACTATTAACTGATGAATTCGGTCTATACACAGCAATAACTACCTGTGTCGTTCACAGGTAGTTCTGTGTACATTTCTCGGATTATCCTCCCTTTCTCTCTCGCTCTCTCTCTCTCTCTCTCTCTCTCTCTCTCTCTCTCTCTCTCTCTCTCTCTCTCTCTCTCTCTCTTTCTCTCTCTCTCTCTCTCTCTCTCTCTCTCTCTCNTGCGATAAGCAAGCAAAACAAATAATAAAAGGATCGTTTGATCGAATTGCGAGTAAAGTATGATTAAATAATTAATCTCAGCAATGTAATTTCTTTACATTAGAAAAGATTATGAAAATGTAGAAAAAAACAATGAATTGTTTTATAATGTGTTAGGGCGATTAAAATGAGAATGATTTATTTCTCTTAATTTTCGGGGTAAAAAAAGAAAACGTCAGCGAAATTGCGCATAAAAACGCTGAATCCCATAAAGAAAAATATGCAAATTTTCGATTATATTTCTACATTTTTTCCGCAATGTAAAAAAAAAAACAATAACTCCCCTATCGGGAAGTTAAAAATGAAAAAATTCAATTTTTTCTCCAGAAAAATTGGAATAACCAGAAAATGACTGGACCTATTTTTCCAGAAATCTAATCCGCTCCAAGTTACGCAGAGACGCATCGATTGTATCCTGGAACATCTCAATCGATGCATTTGTCCATGAGATATCGTGGAGCTATTTTTGTTCTCTTCATTTTCGGGGTAAAAAAAAAAACCTCGGCAAAAAGGCGCATAAAAACGATGAACCACATAAAAAAATATGCAAATTTGCATTTTGTAATTATATTTCCACATTTTTCCTGCAATGGAAGAAAAAAAANATTTGTCCATGAGATATCGTGGAGCTATTTTTGTTCTCTTCATTTTCGGGGTAAAAAAAAAACCTCGGCAAAAAGGCGCATAAAAACGATGAACCACATAAAAAAATATGCAAATTTGCATTTTGTAATTATATTTCCACATTTTTCCTGCAATGGAAGAAAAAAAAAATCAATTATTTTCTCCAGAAAAACTGGAATAACTGGAAAATTACTGGACCGGTTTTTCCTCAAGGCTAATCCACTTGAAGTTATGCAGAGACTCATCGATTGCATCCTAGAACATCTGGATCGATGTATTTGTCCATGAGATATCGTGGAGCTAATTTTTTTCTCTTAATTTTCGGGGTAGACAAAGAAAACGTCGGCGAAATTGCGCATAACAACGCCGAATCCCATAAAGAAATATATGCAAATTTTCAATTATATTCCCACATTTTTTTCGCAATGTAAAAAAAAAACGAAAAAACTCAATTTTCTCTCCAGAAAAATTGGAACAACTGGAAAATTACTGGACCCATTTATCCAGAAATCTAATCCGCTCGAAGTTATGCAGAGATGCGTCGATTGCATCCTAGAACATCTCGATCGATGCATTTGTCCATGAGATATCGTGGAGCTATTTTTTTCTTTTCATTTTCGGGGTAAAAAAAAGAAAACGTCGGCGAAAAGGCGCATAAAAACGATGAACTACATTAAAAAATTTGCAAATTTGCATTTTGTAATTATATTTCCACCTTTTTCCTGCAATAGAAGAAAAAAAAAGGACTTAATTTTTTCTTCAGAAAAAATGGAATAACTGGAAAGTTATTGGACCAATTTTTCCAGAAATCTAATCCGCTCTAAGTTACGCAGAGACCCATCGATTGCATCCTGAAACATCTCGATCGATGCATTTGTCCATGAGATATCGTGGAGCAAATTTTTCGCAACAGACATACCTACACACACACACACACACACACACACACGCACACACGTACATCACGTTAAAAACATTCGGAGCATATGCAGGAGGTCTTGAAACATGGAGAAATGCAAAAAAAATTACTTTTCGTTTTCGGGGTAAAAACAATAACTCCCCTATCGGGAAGTTAAAAAAAATTTATTTCGCAAAAATTTGGAATATGAATTCAGGGATGGGAACCTCGAATTACATTTGTAATCGAATTACTTGAAAATTACTAAATATATGTGATGTATAAAATTTCTTCGGGAGAGATTTTATTACACTGAGAATTTTTAATTTGTAATTTTCGATTGTCAGTTCCGATAAATTATAATAATCGATAGTAATTACAACGAGAATTATATCAGAATTTTATTGGGAATGAAAAATGGAATCGAATTCATATATATAATTTACAATGCTCATTCGAAATTCCTCCAGTAACTGAAATGTCTTAGGAATTTCCAATTCCTCACTGTCACGTCAAAAATGAACAAAATGACATGATCTAAAATTTATGATTAAGCTGTTCAAGACCGAATAGGTCACTTCAGCTAGTATTATTGAATAGAATTTACAAGGGAGGAAATTCGAATTGTTATTTGGATAATTCCCAAAAATAAACCCCACTGGATATAGGAAATTAAAAGAAAATTCGAACACAAGTTTTAATTTAAAATGACTCCCGAGAGTCTATTTAAAAAAAATAAATAAAATAACACTGAAAATTTAGGTTCACAAGTCTTCTAGTTGCTGATCTCTGCTAATCCAATAAATGGTTCACAATTTTTCACTGTTTAATATTAGCCGCGTTAATTTGAAGTTAATAATAATTACAACTGAATTTAACACTAAATTACAGTTTAGAAATGGACACACAAAAACAATTTAATGAAATCTTGAAAGATTTCGTAGATAAAAGAAAAATAACCAGTTGCGAAAAACTGAATAAAATAAAATTGTCACGAAGGACTTTGAAATAAAACTAGTCTTGAAAAACTAGTTAAATGAGCTACGATGGCACTGAGGAACAAAACAACGCGCAAGTTTTGTTCACTCAGCCTGAGGGTGTGTCCTCAGATGCACGGAGGGAAAATCTAGGGAACCAATAGTCGATGACCTTGGGCCCGAATTTCCCTTCCTTGCACTCCGCTCTCAATGTTTCAGGGTTAACTCCGACCCCTCTACATCGAGATGTCGAGAGTGTGGGCGGACTTTTCCAACCCTCGACTGCCAATGAGAATTGTTTCGGAAGGTCCCATTTTCTCCCTCCACAATCCCATTTATTTAAGAAGTACAAATTAAACAATTTAATTATCAACTAATAATTCTTATTTAATAACCTTAACCATATTTCAATATTCCCGAACATTATTTCGGATAATTAATATTATTTATTCTAAGTAATAATTCTTTATTACGCCGTTCTCGTTTATCTCATAGAAATGAAAATTAATTATTTGGATCCGTAAATGGGAAATATTTTAAATAATAAAAAAAAAGAAAATAAAAATAATTTTCCATAGAGAGAATTAAATGGAGTTCAATTCGTAACGAAATATATAATTGGATTAATTGGAATATTCTTTCGAATTGAAAATAATTCGAAAGTATAAGTTAAAATTGTCCTAACGGAAAGTTTTTAACATAAAAATAATTGTCATAAAATGTTATGTCCGGAGACGTTATCAGCGTCGAGGAACAACTTTATTTACTTTTCATTAATTTTCCTTAATAAAGCTAGAATTTGTTTAATTGAAATTTTGGACGACGCTAAGCTTTTTTTTATATTCTTACCTTGGAGAATTGATAATAGATGTAAATTTTGGTTTATTCAAAAATAGGAAAGACAAGAAGAGAATTGAAGTTAGTTCAGTTCACGTATTTATTTATTTACTTTTCGTTAGGTCACAAAAACAATGAGTAAATCAATAGAATTTCTATCTCTATCCTTGCAATGATTTCCGTGATCGAATTTATTATGATTGGATTGTTCATTGGACTCACATAATTTTGATATTTATAATCCTTATCCTATTGCGGTGTCAACTTTTTGACTGTGGATTCCTAGGGCAATCCTGCCACGTTTCTCTGCCAGTAAACTATCACAAATACTTAGGCGAGAAGCCTTTCTTCCACTTATTATGAGAAATTTGGTTTTATATTGTTAGAATTTAAATGTCCAGCACTTATAACTAATTGAGCCACACCCACCGGTCGTTCACAACAAGTTCTCTTCACTTGTAAGAAACACTTTTACCGTCGGTTAAAGAATACTGTATTCCTGATCTATTGCCGGTTTCTATTCTCTACTATTATTCGAGAATAGTTCGATTTTTAATTACTCTATTCGAAAACCGAACAAAAGTCAGACCGATTCCAAAGAAATTTTCCACCAAGAAATTGATGGTCACTCGCGAGAGGGTTTTTAGAGACTGATTTGGAAAAGTTCGATTGGCCGGATCCCAGAGTGGGGGAGGTGTCATTTTCATTTCCTTATTCTTCGGTCATCGAACTAACTTTTGTTCTTTGTATTTTTTTTGTCAACTTGCATTTTGGGGTGCTGTTGGCCCCTGAGAAATGCATACGTTGCGCATTCTCTGGTCACTGGCATCGTTCATGTACGTTGAAAAGTAATATTTAAGTCGCTACAATTTCGGGTATTTTAGGCGATAAAATCAAATTAAAATAATGTGGACATTACAAAAATTTGCAATTAAACTGCACTGAAATTATTAATTTAAAAGAATATTTTTTTAAACATTCGAAAATTGTCAAAATAAATTTATGACTTCCCGTTACGAAGAGAAACTCGAAGAACCCCCATTAAGATTTCAAAACGGGACGGAAATTCGGATTTGNAAATAATGTGGACATTACAAAAATTTGCAATTAAACTGCACTGAAATTATTAATTTAAAAGAATATTTTTTTAAACATTCGAAAATTGTCAAAATAAATTTATGACTTCCCGTTACGAAGAGAAACTCGAAGAACCCCCATTAAGATTTCAAAACGGGACGGAAATTCGAATTTGGGTTTACGAGGGCCTGGGCCTTGAAAGAAAACAGACCCCAAGTTAAGATAAGGGGCAGTTTGAGTTTCCCCAATAGACTTGAATACTGGACACGTCACGTCGGAATTACAAGACAAAGAGAAAGACAGAGATAGACTGGGCGAGCACTTGAAATGCCTTCAGCATGACAAGACCCTGACCCATGTCTAT